CCACATCCTTCAGAGGTCAAGGAGAAGAGCTGCAGCATGGCACATGCCTTCAAAATAATAGGCTTAGGAGACTCAGATGTGTGGATGGAAGTGGCAAATGAAAAGCCCTTATGCTCTGTGCTCTCCATGGCCTGTGCAGCTTGAACCAGTAATGTCCACAAACCCCAAAAGATGACTTCCATTAACTTCCACAAGGTGTGGAGTGATCCATGCTGCGCTGCACAGCCTACAAGTTGCCCAGGTCACCCACACACCTTCTGCTCCTCAGGACAGCCAGCTGTCTGCTCATGACAATCTTACACTACCACCCATCTTCTCCCACAGCCAAGCTCCTCCTTTAACTGCCTACTCATTCATGTAGGCTTAATCTTTTCTGGAAGGACAAAGTGTACCGACGTTATTTGCTTTGTTTGTTTTGTGGCCAAGCAGATCCTTGTGCGAGGAGAGGGCCAAATTCATCTTTTATAAAAGCAGGTGAAACTGGTCACAGGCACTAAATTGGGAATTCCCAGGATTAGCAAAGAAAAGACAGAGCAAAATATTCTGTCTTTACTTTTCCCCTCGCTGTACTTTACACTGCAGGGGCAAATTTGCACCATTGCCCTCAAAGCCAATGCAAAAGGCCAGGAGTCCATTCTCTATCGAGTCCTTCTCTTCCACAGCTCCACCTCCATCTGCTGCATCTAATGTAATCAAATGGTAGTTGTGTTTTGTTCTTGTGGTGCGGGGGGGCAAGCAAGCGCAAACAGAAAGGAGCCCTCAGAGGTGTGCCTCTACACCTACTTTACACCTTGCTGGCTGTTTATGGCAGAGAAGGCAAGGTCAAAGACATGCACCTTGCACTTGGAACTGAAGGTGCCAACTCCTCGTGCGATGCTGAAGATTAACGGCGTGCAGATAAGGGCTGGGGGAAGTGGCCAGCGGAGACTTCTGAGCGTTCCCTTGGCAGAGGCTGTGCCTCGCTGTGGGAACTTGCTGCTCCAGCGCTCACTTTTCCCAATGGGGAGTGAACTCAGCAGCAGTTTGCTGCTGCCATGATGCTCTGCTGCCGTTGTTACCAAGGCATGTTTAGTGCCCCGTGCATTAGCTTTTCTTCTGCCTTGTGCTTTGTCTCCTTGGGGGGACAGTTCCACAGAATAACCAGAGGATATGTATTTGTAGTGGCGATTCCCCTCCCCTCCGCCCCACCGTGGTAACACAGGCCCCAAGTGCTCAGATTAGCAACACTCCAGCACCCAGTATTTCACAGCGTGGGACTGGAGCCCATCCTGCTGTGCACACCTGCGAAAAGGTCTGTGCTCACGACCACGTCTACTCCTTTCTCTTTGTCTCTTACATTCACTTGGGTCTCCTCTAACTAGCAAGTTTACCTTCTTTAAGGCAGGGTTTGCATTTGATTTCCTATCTGCACAGTGTCCTAGGCCTGACAGAGGCAGCTCTGTCCATACTGTCGTATCTAGACACTATAGTATCCAGAACTGTAAACTGATTTGCAAATAATTATTACAGAAAGATGCCATTTTTTATATACCAGATAACTTATCTGGTATACATCAAACTTCTCCCTGTCTTTTCTCTGTTCTTTCTTTCCCAATTCATCCACAAATACATTGTTCCTTTGTCAGTACTATATAAGCATAGCATCCATGTTTAAGAAAAAGACCTCTTTGACGTCAAGTTTTCTGTAGCAGAGCTGTTTAGATTTGTTATGATTAATCACATCTATTTTCTAATTTGTACCTAACACACACAGAGAACCCTCCTTAAGCCTTAAACTTGAGCTGTAGAGGTGCGTTTTGTCTTTGCTGCTGGCTTAATCAAGCCACGGAGAGCTGCTGTGTGCTCCGTACAATTGTTGCCCCTTGAATTGCAAAGAAAGAGAACGAGGAGAACGAAACACTTCGCAAAGGGCTACTACTATGGGTGCACTAAGGCATATTTAGTGCGTTTGTGGCTCTGGGGCTGCAGTAATTAATTGTGCGTGTGACACTCCAGCTCGCGTGGCCTTGCAACCACAGCCTTCCCACCGCAGCAGCACAAATGCAGGCACCCCAGCACCCACACATGCTGAAACCCCTGCAGGCCTCGATGGGAGCCGGGTGCTCAGTCTAAGCTCACACCGGGGGCTCAGGGCAGCTGGAGGAGGACCCTGGCCCCCACCGCCCAGCAGCGGCTCCTCTCCCCTCGCCCATGCTCAGCCCGGCTGCTCTGTCCCCACCGAGGTGCCCCGACGTG